GTTCTATCTGGCCACGGTAATACCTTAGTTACATTGTGTTCTATGTGGGAGTGCCTTTGAAGAGTGTTCAGAAGCTACATTTGGTTGAAAATGCTGCCGTCAGACTGTTGAGTGGTACTGGTTACAGGGAACGTGTAACTCCCTTATTACAACAGCCTCATTGGTGCCAGTCTGCTTCCAGGCTAAATTCAATTACCTATTGGGTCCAGGCTATCTGAAGGATTGTATCATCTTATATGAGCTTACTCGACATTTAATATTTTCCAGGGGGGCCATTCTCTCAATTCCACTACCTTCCAAGCTTGTTTGGTGGGGACACAAGAGAGGGCCTTCTCAGTGGATGCTCCCGGGTTTTGAAATGCACTGATTAGCCCGCTCTGTCTTGTCATTCTGTTGTCAGGGAAAAAACGTTAAGGCACACTTTTAAGCAGTAATTGGGGTTCTGTGGAACATTCCTTTTATGAAATGTAGATATTTTTAAATGGTTTAAAAATATTTTTAAAATTGTTTTTAATCTTGACTAGTGTTTAATTGTTTTTAATATATAGTTTTGTATAATATTTACAAAAATATATACAGTGGTGCCTCGCTTACCGATCGCTCCATTGAGCGACGAAATCGCTTTGCAACGCTGTTTTTGTGATCACAAAAGTGATCGCTTTCCGATGTTTCCTATGGGGGAATTTCACTTTGCGATGATCGCGCGGAAGCGACCATCGCAAAGCCCCCATTTTCGGCCAGCTGATCGGCGGTTCCAAAATGGCCGCTGGGTAAACAAAATGGCCACCTGCTGTGTTGCCTCGCTTTAGAGGCACCCAAAATGGCCACCGCAATGGAGGATCTTCACATAAGGTCAGTTTTCAAGCCCATGGGAACGCATTAAACACGTTTTAATGCATTTCTATGGGCTTTTAAAATTTCCCTTAGCGACGAAATCCCTTAGCGATGTTTTTCCTGGAACAGATTAACGTCGCTAAGCGAGGCACCACTGTATTGTATGGTTGTAATTGTTGTGAGCTGCCTTGGGTCCCCTATGGGGAGAAAAGTGGCATATAAATAATATATATGTATAAATAAAAACAGAGACTGGTACATGGGGCTGCTAAACAAGTGCTCTTGCAGGTTGATGTGCAAAAGAAGCAGAGAGCTTGGACTGCTAGTGCTTGTCATGTAAGAGAAAAGAGATCTCAGAGGAGACTGGCCGATGATCAACCTGTGAATACCACTGGTGGATGCAACGCATCTTGTGGCTCGTTATTCCTACTGACTAATTACAAGCTGAAATATTAATAGAACCCTTTCAGTGGTCCCATAACACATACCTAAGCAGGTTATTGCCAATTGCCTCTGTTCAAATGGATCGTCTCCTTTTTCTAGCCAGCAGATGAGGTCTGGTTTGGGAATTCCTTTTAAAGAAAGACAGAAGGTGATGACTACCAAATGTTCAAAAATTCCATTTTGTTGCTATAAATCCATGGTTTTATTTCTTATTTACACTTATTTCTCAACTATTCATCTAGTTCTCCAGGCACGATACACTAGAAACAACAGCACTGTGTGACTACAATCATCAACCCAAATAGAGACTTCGACCAAGAAATCAGAAGACTCAGATGAACAGCAATAACGGTATTAGAAAAGATCATGAAGTGTGAGGGTGTGCAACCAAGAGACCAAGACCAAGATCATCCATACTTTTGTACTCCTGATCACTATGTATGAGTGGGAGAGTGAAGAAAGGAAGAAAACTGGTTTGTCTGGAATGTGATGCTTTGTGGATACCCTGAACTGCGAGAGAAAGACAAACAAGCAAGTCCTGGATCAAAAATAAGCCTGACATCTCTAGAGACAGAACTGAACAAAACCAAGGCTGTCCTACTTTGGGCATGTTGTTAGAAGGTCAGACATGGAAAAGACAATACTGCTGGAAAAAGTTGAAGGAAGAAGGAAAAGAGGAAGACTAACTATGAGATGGATTGACTTTTTTTTAAAAAAGGGGAGCGAGAGAACGATGAAGATTAGAGTCTTGAATTTGCATGACTTGAGCAGAGCCATCACTAATTCATCGGGTCATAATAACTGAGAAGCAATCTAATAGCATCTTTGTGTAACAGTACTTGATAAATTGAAAAAGATTCTTGGGCCATATGGTAAGACTTTTGCTGGAGCTTTTACAACCTCGCATGCTGACTGTGGGAGGTGTAGGTGGGAGGGACCTTTCTCGGCTGGGGAGACTGTCAATCTATTCAGCACTAACCAATCATTCCTTCCTACCTCTGAATTCAAAGAGAGCCCTGTCTCTCAGCTCTGTGCTCTTCTGTTTCGTTCTAGTTAGTTTGTCTGTTGGCTGTTGATCTCCCTTTAAAAATTACAGTAGAACTTACGTATCTGCAGGGCATTGATTCGAAGTCCCCTTGGAGATGCTGAAAAACACAGATGATAGGGAATACTGTCCATAGCATGGTCGCTGGCTCCCTCTAGTGGCCAGTTCTAGTAACTTCTTTATAAATATACATTTCTAGGATTTTCCTTTTAATATTTTCAGATTGTGGATAATTGAATCAGCTTCAGCTTTGCAAATTAAGCCTGTGATCGCCTGCCAGTGATCCGTAACAAACTGGACCACCCTAAATGTTGGATGGAGGGTGTGACGGAAAAATTGCCGGGAATGGCAAAGCTGTCATACAGTTCCTGAGGAAACCTCACCTGTAAAAACCTGATGTGTCCATCATCTAGCCACACCCTCTAACCACATTGCTGGCTTCTTCCACGTCCTTGCAGTTCTTTTCCCCCTCTAACTGCATACGTGAAACATTTCCCTGCATTAGAAAGAAGGCAGCCTAGCA